AAACGTACTGTCAGCCAGTATAAACCAGTCATCAGAATTAGGCCTCATCCAGCAAATTCTATCTCTTGGAGGGTTTATAAATGTTATTATCGACAACATGATAAGCAACAGTTGTTTCCTTCTGCACCAGTACCTTAGCATGCTTGATTTTGCATTTCGTTCATGCGGTGGACGTTTCTTCCGCCTTGTTTCCTTCAGTTTTGTTTGCAATAAGTGCAAATAACTCAAACAGACCGTGGACGCCATGTTGAATTAGCAATATGCGCATGCTCACTTTCAATTTAGTAGCCTTGCCTGGACGAAAATATCCTTGCCTAAAATAAAACGAGCAAGGGTAAAACGGATGTGTGTAAACTGCACATTTTACGCTTGCCTTGCCGAAAATGAAAATTACCCTTGCCGATTTTCATCCTTGTCTTGCCGATTTTTTCTGTAGTGTAAATGGGGTTGAAGACTCACAGGGGCACCCAACGAGAATATAGTTCAAAACCACTTAAACATAGAATTGTTAAACGTATTTTAGTATTTAAACGGTAAATATAGGCATATTTTTATCGCCTAAAAATTTTTCATCTGTTCGGATTTCCTAGCTGAAAGTCAAGTGATCCGAAAATGATACGGATCAAAACTTACCTTTTCGAAAACTTTAGCTAGAAAAAAGGGTAAAAATCCGTTAAAAATAGGCAATTATACCATTTTTTAGATGTCCGAAAATCCTAGGAGAGGCAGGCAAGCAAGAAATTTTACAACAAATGTTCCGAAAATTCTAGATCTCAAAGCGTCTTCCGAACAGATATTTTTCCGAAAATTGTCGTTGGGTGCCCCTGGACTCAAGGCGGTTCTTCTGATCTAACGGCGCAAGACTTGGCCTCGGGCGACTGAAAATATTGTCTAGGTGGCCCAGCCGGGCGACTTGCTGGTGTTGGTTTCTTGGTTCTGTTGATTTACGGTCAAAAAGCTAAGAATGTCTAGAATTTATTAATTGCGAAATCGTAGCTCGCTCAGTGGCTTCGCGGCCTAAAAAAGAACACCCCGCTCGCTAAGAAACTTCTGAGTTCGACTTGTAAGTAGCAATATGTAGCATGTCTATCAAAAAGCTTTAAGAAAATGTTTTTAAATCGGGCAGCGGGCGCGCGTTGATGTCCAAAGGTCGTTTCACGTGAATTCACATGTAACATAATCCTTGACTAAGAACGTGACAAGCTGCACAGTTTTTTGATAGTAACAGCTTTTCATAATAACATTGAAATTTTTTCTTCAATTAGGATGGTTCATTAGTTAGTTTTTCAAAGCAAATTGTTACTTTTGCTCTGACAGGCGTAAAGTACGGTCGGCGACAAAAAACAATAGTTTTGTATTTTGAGAAATCGCTGAATAAATATGGGAGTCGCTCTGTTATGTTACCGTATGTATTCGATTAACCGCCCTGGGCGCTTATTAAATTTTTGGACCTTGAGAGTGGGCGCTTATTCGAGCTGGGCGCTTATTCGACGCTGGGCGCTTATTAAATTTTCACCATTTTCAGCAAGTCGGAAGTATGTTTATGTTGCAACAAAACAACAAAAAGCTAATTAAAAAAGCGAAGAAGTAACAAGCAAGGTTTCTGTAAAATACTCTGAAGAAAACTCCGTCCTTGGGGAAGTCTCTTATTAGAATTTATTCACTCAAGTGGGTGGGGTGGGGGTAAGCGCTTATTTGAGTTTGATTGTGAGGAGGAGGGGTGGGCGCTTATTCGAGGCTGGGCGCTTATTAACTTTTTCTGCCTTTGGGATAGGCGCTTGTTCGAGGTGGGCGCTAATTCGAGGTTGGGCGCTTATTCGAATAAATACGGTAATTAAATATTTTTACCTTTTCTTTTTTTACTGCTGTGTCTGCGAGGCTAAAACATAACTAATTTTGTTATTCCAGTAAAAGTCGATGTATAAAAAAGAAAAGAGACGACTATTATTGTGATTGTTTCAGGATCGGGTATAAATCTATAAAATCCCGCATTGTCTTTCGTGTCGTGACAAGGCATTACGTATCACGTACTAAAAATAAATACTCAAAGGCTAACCGAATCCACAAAAGCTCATTTGTCCTGAACATTTCACCGATAATATAGAAAGAAAATACTTCCGTTCTGCGCTTAAACGACGACTTTACAACAAAATGATCTATTCAAAAGAGATAATAGCTTTGGGGCGGCCACTTCCTTATAAGAGGCTAATGGGGATGTGCAGCTGGATAGTGGGGTTGCATTTTCAAAAGAGTTACTAGAATGGGGTCGCACATTATCGGATTTTTGGGGTTAGAGAGTTGTTCATATTTACGGTTAGCAAACGTACCAGGATATTTGTGCTGTAGGTGAAAAGTAAAGTGTTCTTCATTCAATTTATTAAAAAATGGGTCAATTCATTTTTTGATGACCTATTTAAAGGATTGATAAGGTAGATACATAAATAGAAAGTGACTAAGTTGGGATCGCAAAAATTACGTATTTGCCCAAAAGTGACTAATATGGGGTCTACAAAGACTATAATGCGGTAGGGGCTCTAAGAGGCCAGCGGCACATACGTAGCAAAAATTAACCCAAGTAACTCCCCAGGGGGCGCCGCGGTTTCGTTGAAATCATAACAGTTTTCCTGGAAAGCTCCACGGGATCTCAGTCAATCTTAATGAGCGGATTTTCTTTTCAACGTAAATCAAAATGATTAGTAGATTAGACCCACAATTTTTTTTTTTTACAAAAAATACATAAACAGACCAGCATCTTACTTTTCTATTTAAAAAACAAGAAATATTCGACGGCGTTGCCCATGTTTCTCATATGCCGCGAAAACTTACTTTCATATGACAACATGCGGGTATTTTTTTTTTCGCACGCTTAGGAGGTCAAAGGGATGTGATTTTTCCATGAAAAAAATGTGCACAAAATTCTGCTTGACTTGTTAAGGAAATAATTTGATTAATTTTTAATAATTAACTAACAGCTCACTGATTTATTAATTTGGGCGACCAACTTGGAGGCCCGGGCACCCCAGCTAAAATGCTTGGGGAACCCGAAGGGCTCCCTGAAATTTGTGGTTGTGGATAGTCTTATCAGTGCCGCGAAAGTGTGTGATTGTGTGATTTCTGCATGGTGTTGACAGGTATGTGATCGCGTTGTTGAACTGCGGTTTCGCCAAAATATTCTGTGCCAAACATTAATATTGTTTCGTCGGTGTTTAGCTTAGCTGATTGTACCTTTGAAAAGCAACTCTAGACTCAGGAAAATTGGATCTAGGTCTAGTTTCAGCGGTCTGTAATGGCATTGCACCATAGGCCAGTTTTTGCAGATAAGAAGGTGATAATTTGTGCATTATGTTTCATTCAGTTTGTTGTCTATTCCATGCGGAATCCTGTTGTTTATCGGACCGCGAAAAAAAGTAGTGTTTTGCTAACTATTTAAATTGTTAATGTAAGCCTTAACCAGGCTCTCTTTCGCTGCAGTTCACTCAACTTAAAAATTTCTAGACTGAAATGACACCGGTTTGAAACTTCGCGAAGTCAGTTTACTGAATAAATGTTCTAAAATTTGTGTCATTTTAAATTTGGACTCGTTGAAATGCTTCTATGGATCATTAACTTACTGCCAGATAAAGGCTTTTACTGATCGGTCTTTGAATGAGTTTTGTTGTTTTAAATTGCCATGTAGTAGAATGAGTTGATATTTTTGCTAACCAGGTTTTCAAAAATCCAGGTATATATTATATTTTGTTAATTTTCTCCTTCTGTCGTTTCTCCCGGATTATTGATAGCCGAATCTCTATACTGCTTTCTCTTTTGTTTGGCCAAATCACAGGGAACAATTAAATGTGTTTACCTGTGTTCCTGAGTCTTTATGAGTCGTTTTGGAAGGGATCTGAATCCGATCAGAGACGGTTAATATTGCTGCGCTGGTATTAATGAATAATTTGGCTGTCAGAGGAATTTTTTGAATTCAGTTATTTCCAAATTGGACTAGCATGTATTCCTCTTACTTATTAATTATATAGCTGGTTAGTTAAGCCAGATTTTTTAGCTTGTCACAGATGCGAAATATTGTACACTTGAACCCGTCCGTTAGTAGTTGAAACAAAAACACACAGGAGGATCTAAAAACTTTTATAGTGTCATTCAACTTATTCTTTACAAAAAAACGAACTCTTCTCGCCGTTCTTTACTTTTCTTCGTGCCATATTTTTCCGCCCGTTTAGACTTTCCCTCGCACCCACTATCTGCCCCTGGGTCTTCATGGATGCGGTCGGTGTGGTAGTGTGGCCGAGTGGTAAGGGAGAGAGATAAGGATGTGAAAGGTCCGAGCTCGAGGTCCGGGTTCGACCCTGCATTGCGATTTTCTTTCTTTTTAATAGAAACACTCTCAATGACTGGTCAGCAATTTTCTATAAGCGTCTTAAAAATGTCAGCGACCGTTTACGAAACGGACAACTGCTTCGACGTCAGTACCTAACCGAAACTACTTAAAAATTATTAACCGGACAATTACTCCTGTTGGCTTGCAGAACTAGACAAGTAATTTGCAGGTGATTGAACACTGCGAATTCACTTTTTGGCGATTTGTATATTGAAAAATAGAACAATTACTGGAAATCTCAGTATCATTACTTGTTGTAGACCTGAGTTTTTAGAAAAATTTCAGCGTCGTCGTACAGAAGAGATCTCAGTTCATTGCGTGAATAGGGACAAATATCGCATTTTTTGTACTGTATAGTAAAAGTTTTTTTACTTTCAGTTTTTTCTTGTAAATCGGGTCATATCTATTAAAAAAAGGACGCTTGAGTCGGCACCGCATCATATCTTTCCCTGGCACCCGCCCATCCATCTGTGCTTCAAAGGGCCGCAGTCCGCGCTGGTTCATTTGCACAGCCCTTTCGCTTTTTGTTTCAGTCCAGCATTTACTGCCTCTACTCTTACGTTCAAGTAATTTGTGTTTAGATCATCCGTTCTGGCACATGTCCTCTACGATGAGGCTCTATCCTTTATTTCAGTTTCTTGGTTTGGTATCGCGATTTTTCCTGAAACAACAAAAATAGGTTTACGTTAGTAATTAGGATACAAAGGGACCCTTGGCTCCTAATAAGCTACTTTCATGGCTTTCATATTCATGTTCATCTTCAAAAACAAATTGAAACAAAGTTTAAGGAAAAAGAGCTCGTCTTCCCTTATTCTTACCGCTGGTGTCTTACGGCGAAACTGATGAACTGCTTTTTGCAGGCTTTGCAATGTTTTAGTGACCTCCATCAGCTTGGTTTGTACCTCATCTTCCTCCTCAGGGGTATCCTCGTCTGAGGGGGTGGTATTCTTATCAGGCTCCTTCCTTAGTGTATTTTGTTTACCAGAAAAATAGCGATGTATCAAATTTTTGATAACGACACGTCGCTAAACAGAAAACAAAAACAAACAAAGCGTGGTTAATCAAACTGTAAGTCAAACAACTCTTTTACTATTTCGACTAAATATCATGATAACTAAGTTCAAAGTGTTAAGTTCAGGACCTTCAATATGCAGGCCATCTACTCTATGCATGGTATTCAGGTACAGAACCGAGAAATAAATAGCACTCACTGTTACTTCAAAAAATAAAAATAAAAAATTAAAAAAAAAATGAGGAGAATGTAAAAGACAAAAGAATGAGAAAGCAAAGGATGCAAAATAGTTACCTTGTAACGACTTGTCGAACATGGCTTACGTTTATAGGGAAATTTTTAAAAACGATGTTAATAATTGGCGAGCTTAACTATTTCATTGTTACTAACGCTTCTTCTTCCATGCCTGCCTCCCATGCTTCCGTTCTAATTCTTTATAGATTATTCGCTGAAGAATAATGCCCTTATGTGAAAAAGCTTTTGAAATTTGAAAGCCTTATATAGTTTCGCTCGTCCTCGACTGAGAACACTGCACTGTCTAGCTAAGTTATTAAATGATCACCTAGCGATTTATGACACGACTCATTTTTTCAAATGAGAATTTGCCGATCAAAATTTTAAAAAGCGCGCTTTATTGCAGTGTCAATGTATTGAGCACGAAAGTACAATTTGACAACTGTATTTTACGTTTCCATACTGGAGATAGGACTGCCATTTTACGTGGTCATCGTTCGAGCCACGCAAAGGACCAGCCATTCGCAAAGCAAAGGCAAAACATTTATTTCGCAGTATCTTGTGGACCCTGTCAGCTATACTGGCCAGACCCTAAGGGTCGAAACCGCGACACTCTTGCTCTGCAGTCGAGCGCTCTACTTACTGAGCTAGTCCTGCTGCTTTGTTTTAGACTTAGCACTTCTAAAAGGGAATTTTCAAGGAGAACCCCAGAAATTTTATAGGAGAGCCTGCTTTCTGCCCTCCTGGTCGAAGGTACATTTTCTCTGAGACCGGCGCTTTTATTGAGGTTGATTTACTTTGGTTATCACTATTCTTACTTATATGACGAGAATAAAGGTTCATTCTAATTTTCTAAAAATTGATATACTTACCCTTTTCTGATTAGTTTTAACTGTATCTGATTTAATTTCTTCTGCTTTGATACAACCAAGACACTAAAAAAGGAATACAAAAGACTCTAAGGATAATACCATGAAAACAGTGTTTGAAGTAGCCAAACAACGGCAACAAAAACGACGACAGCAAGCGAAAGAAAAGGCGCGTTTTTATTTCAGGCCAAGTATGCAACCTATCCGGACAGTTTTCAGGCGTAAAGCTTGAGAAACTATTTGTACGAGAATAAAAACCAAAGAAACATGCGCATTTACGTCTCCTAACATGTGTCTCGATAATATAAATTATAGATCGATTATCGTAAGAAATATTTAGTAGATTTAAAAACTTGTGACCTTGGTTCGTGTCCATAGTTGTTTTAGTTTTTACCAAAAAATTAATTCCTTTTTAATTTCTTAACATTTAAATCATTTTTCATGTGCGTGCGGTGAGGCTTTGCTACTTACTTACTTACTTACTTACTTTTTTAACCCAATTGTATCTTCTAGCAAGCCAACGGACTGCGGAGGCAATTTTTTCTACTGGTATCAGGTTAAATGGCGGTGGTAGAGGACTGACTTCACTGATGTAATACATCCAGAGACGCGTCCTCGCAAACTTGAATTTAGTGTCCTTCTCTTTCTGAAAGAAAGCAAATATAGACGTATAAAATACTTATAACATCAAGGTAATTTAAGGCAAAGGTCTTTGGAACTAGATGTCGTGTCGATCTCCAACAAGTGTTGTATTAGAAAACTGCACTGTGTAATAAAAACAGGGATTTCGAAGCGACTGAAGTAAATCTCCTTAAAGGTAATATACCTGGTATTATTTATCACACAGTAATAAGCTCAGTTCATTTCAGAATACTTCACAACGCAAATCACTTTCAAAATAAGAACGCGTAAAGTTTTGGCGTGGGCTGAACTCCGGCCAAAGTTTTAACCTCTGACGTACAAGACCACTGAGAATTCCTAGACAATGAAACATCAGCCCCAGACTTTTTCAGTTGCAGTTCGTTTTTCCCTCGCGCGCATTTTGAGACAAGTTTAGTGACGACCAGTGTCTATGGTTAGGAAATATGACGTCACAAATAGCGCATGGTCAAGTCATTTTTTGATGAAAATCATGTTTTCAACTTCTTTCAACGATAAAAGTAAAGGTTGTGACCGGATAAAATGAAGCAAAGCACTTATTCGTCTGTTATTAATTAGCGGGTCAAGCACAACACTAGGTCAACATCAGCAGTGACAAGCTGATGCTTTGTTAGCTGTTGCCTTATGTAATTATAACTGTTAAGAATTTTGTCTTCTTAATCTCACTCCCAGACCCCTTGTAAATTTTGTGTAAATAGTCTCGTCATAATCTGTAAAGGTCAATTTAGAACACTTTTGAAAATGGTTGTTGACTAGCATACGATACGTCACTTATCAAAATACGAACTTTCACAACGTTTATCACCGCTGCTGGTGTTTCATTTTTGTTTAAACTACGATGGCCGAAAAACACAAGTCTTCATGATATGTTTTCCTCACCCTTTCGTAAGCTAACCACATTTTTCTTTATTATTAATTATTATTTCCAGGGTTGCAATATTTACTTATGCTATGTACGTACGTGTTACTGTGATATTACATGCAAACTTCTCCTTTTATGGCTGAGAACACGTGGAAAGGGATGTTGGCGCAATATCAATTATACTGTTCTTGTGTGACCCATCCATTGGCACGTTAGTTTGTATGCGTTTACAATTTTATCATAAACCGATTTGTGTAGACACAACATTGCACTTACATCAACCTTCTTGTATGAGTTATTGAGCATAGCGATCAGTAGGTTTAGTACAACCAGTATGGAAGCGAGGCTGTATACTGCGAACAAAATCTGTCCTGTAACCATGGTAATCTTTGAGTTCTCGTCCGTTTCAAAAGCAGGAAATTCGACATGTCCGAACAATGCCCAAAACAATGTCTCCACGGTTCCCTCGATTCTGTTAAAAGAACATGTACAAGCTATCTGTTAGCTCACATATACACTTAGTGGAACCGCAATTTAACGATCCTCGATAAAACGATGTTCTAGTTTAATAAATAACAATTATTCACCGAAGTGGAGGTGGCTAGCCACCGACACTGAGGTGAATAATTGTTTTAGTATATACTAAAACAGTGAGATAATTGAGCACAAAATGATGATTTTTAACTCATTTACTGTTGCCAACGATTACAATTTTGGCGTGCGATGACCGAACGGCCGTGGTCGTCGCTTTTTCTTAGCGAGAAATAAAACTTTTGAAGGCGTTTGTTTAGCTCTTGCGGGGAAGTTTCTTCAAAAGGAGTTGTGAATTCTGTTTGTACTTAAAATAATTCTGTAAAAAAGATTATTAAATTTAATTTTAAGCTTATTTATGAACAAGTGAACTAAATAAAGTAGCGCAAGACTTAAGCTTAATTTGCATTTGTAAATAAACAACTTTTTGAAACATGGCTTGCTTTATTTCTTGTACTATTATACCAACCACCCAGATACCAATAATAACAGCTATAAAAATAGATAAATAAGTAAATGAATAAATATTCCTACGGGGTAAATGCTTGACTCATTAAGCATAATTTGAACGAACGTAGCTATATCATGAACTGTTCCAAGCTAATCTGGACTTATCAACGCTCGTGGGCCCAAACAAAATTAATAAAGTGATTACCAGCTGAGATGACCTAAATTAGACCCGTAATGATGTTCTGAAGCGGTTTTTTTTTAACAAAAAAGACCCCAATTCAGAGCTAAATCAAAGGAAGTTAGAGGACGTATTTGTTTTGGAATATGGAACATTTAGTAATAATTCCAAGTTAGTCAAGTTAGTCCTATTATGTCTCGTTTAGTTCTCGTAATTCATTACTCAAATGAGGGGTTAAGCAAATACTAAAACTTCTTTGCCTTGTCAAGTATTGCATTATGTAGAGCAGGTGGATTGCAAACCCTATGAAAACACTAAGATTATTCATCTCGGGTACGTATCTTCAAACCAAGTTTGTTTTACACCTTCATAGATCGGCTCTCTTCACTGAGATAACGCCATGTGATTAACTGTCAACAGGAGGGAAGAGTATAAGAATTTGAGGATATTTGGCCCTACGAACTTGTGCGAAGTCGTCAGTGTTCCGGTGCACGATTCCTTAGCGCGTATACAATGAAAAAACTCTCTGTTGAGAAATCTCGAGAGTCGTTGGTTCCTTGGTTAACGGCTTTCTCGTTTCTCTAACGAGAAAGAGCTATTTTTTAAGGGGTTTTGACACAGGATTAATTGCTTTTTTTGTACAAGTACCTTTACCCATACACAAAATGTTTCTTCTGATCAGCGTTATGAAGATATCAAGCAAATCATTTCACCAAGGAGCACTAACCATAACATTTTATTGTGAACTTTTTCAAGTCCATCCTTTTAATCTGTAGCAACAGACGACGAGAAACAGTTTCAATGCAAAATACACTAAACTAGTCTTAACTGAATGACATAAATGGACCGCTATTTTTGGAATTCAGTTGATGCGACAAAAAATTAGCTTTTTAAAAAGATAGCAAATAGCATGACAAAGTGGCTTATAGTATAGACTTGTATTCAAACTCACTTAGTGGTGATAAGCGCAGGAAAGAGTCATATTTATCTTGGAAGGCCGACATTGCCACCAAAGCCAAGAGCTTGCACAGAGAAGTCTCCATCTTCTTTGTCAGACGGTTGGGGGCAGTGAACATGTATCCCAGCATGCAAAGTGGCATGAAAAGTGTATACAATATCATCAGAAGAAATTTCGTTTTGAAGGAGAGTTGATTCCATTTTCCAGACCCCTTGTAAGCAATCGTGTTCAGCATAACTTGGCTGTAGGGATGAGCTATAAACTAAAAGACATAAACCTATTAGCATTTTCGCGGTTTCGATTTCTATCTTGTTCCTGTCATTTAAGATACCCATCTTTCAGTAATGGTGAGGCCAGTACTTAAAAGTCAGTTACCCACTAGACTGATGTAGTGGTGTTTTTTTTTTTTTTCATATTGACGCACACCACTGAAATGCTTAGCTTCCAGAGTTACTGTAACGACTCCTAGAAAGCCCGAACGTTAAAATTAAAAGTTGATGCTCCCAGAACAATCCTTAATTCTTTATCAAAGTAACAATCAGTCCCTTAAGTAGCGCCTCAAATTGAAGCTTAGAAAAATGCTAATGGACAAAAATGCAGCCTCTGTTTTAAAAAGACTTTACAGACAAAGGAAAGTAAACGCTTTGTTGTTTCTTTTCAGAAGATTAAACCCTTTTCGAGAAAAGCTTGCAAAAATATTACATATCCCGTCCACACGTATTCGGTGAAACCAGCATACGAATCCGCAACTTTTTTAATCTGCTCTCCTGAGTGGAAATTTTTGATTACGCTATGAATCTGGAATCGTGTGGGCGCTAAATTAAATCCGGATATTTTTTTAATCCGGTGACTTAACAAGATCGAGCCCAGTTCTTTACCGTGAATACTGCTTCGTGGCAACCTCGTTCCCCGGTTCTCTCTCTTACTCGTCGATTTAAATTGTAAGACGCAAATTTTGCGCTCGCGTTACGACGCATGCTCTGTTGCCAATATTCACAGAGGAGTCCTGGGTAATAGAGTGAATCTGGATACGTGTCGGATACGTGTTGAAGGGCAAATTCGATTGATATACGGATACGTGTGGACGTGGAAATTTTTGATTCCGGAAAGAAAAAGTTGCGGTTTTTAAAATATCCGGATACGTGTTGGCCAGTATGGCACAAAAATAAAGGCGAAAAAAAAAAGAATGTAACATTATTTTCATCTATGACGGACAGAAGCCTTTTCTGGTGCTTTTTTCTACCTCGCGGAAGACGTATTTCCGGTCGTCCCTTCTCTCGACAGGAAGTTTTAGGGTGGCAAGATGCGACGACCGGAAATACGTTTGCGTTCGAAAGAGGTGAATCATGATGGCCGGAAAAAGGATTTTGCTCTCCAAATCTACTTTAACAAAATACTGGGGTCATCGTACAAAACTAAACTTAGCAATAATCATATAATTTTATACGGCACTTTTTTGTTCTTTGTTCTTTATTTTTCTTTTCAGGAATCAAATGTCTCTCTTTTTTGGTAAAAAATTAAAGGTCTCTTCGTTTGGGATCGAAAAAAAAAAAGCAGGAGAAAATTAATTACTCTTACCTTTCTATTGCGATATTTAATAGCGAGGTTAAGAACGCGTAATCTGTGTTCCTTTTGTCTCAATTGGACCTTCCCGTGCAATGTTTCAGCTTCTGGTACATCCATAACCGCAGCTATTTCCTCGAGTTTTCTACATTCATCTAACAGACTAGAGAGGGCGAAATAGTCCTCACGAAATTCGTTTTCGCTGTGTCCTAGTTTTTTAAGCTTCAGCCTTGGTACAATTGATCTGAAGGGTCGTTTGCTTTATAACTACAACTCTTTTTGTTCAATTCTTTGCGCTCGCGATTCTCGTGGAGGAAAGTCTGCGAAATGTATAAGAGGCTTGCTAACGCTTTATAAGTGTTTAGCTTGAATAAGGAATCTTTACGCCTGACCATTGATCCACTTTCACTTTGAGGTTTCTGCGTATTCGGATGGTCGACTCTGTAACCTTTGCTGACAAAGAATTCAACAATTTCTTAGTTCCCGTTAAGCACAGCCAGGACAAGCGGTGTCAAAAATTCTTCGAAATTCTCTGATCTGCATGGATGTTGTGTTGCTGACAATTTTCCAAGCATTTTGACAGCTGTATTTCTTCGATGTCTTGAATCGTGTGCTACAAGAATTCTGACATACTGCAACGAATTATTCCTGACGGCTTCGAACAAGGCCACCCCGATGCCATATCAAACGCTTCCCTCTTCACTGCTATTTGTAGCGCCGTTTTCCCGTTGACATTTGTGCAGTCTAAATCCACGTGTTTGACATTTATCAGCTCTTCCACTTCGGCTGAATTACCGCTACGAACTGCTTCAAAAAACGCTTTTTCTTCTGGGCTCGGCGAATATGGGCAGAAGTCAATCTCTTCCATTTCAACGTACTTAGTTCCCAGGATTTCTTTTTGCGGCCTGGTGTGGTCTTCAAATCCTGGCTCATCGATGTCAATATCTCTCCCTCTGTTTTCCATGGTGAACGTATGTGAAAGAGTTTCATCAGCGACATGGTCGGCGCAAATGTGTTATGTTACGGCTGACTTGTTATTAAAAATTGAATTTGATTGTGTACAGAGGCAATATCTATTGTAATTAATCAACCCTAAAAGGAACTCTGTTTAAAATCACTTAGGTATAGCAAAACACAGGCTTTAAGGTGATTGTGAACATTCCTCAACAGTACTGAAATTACTTGACTGTGGGACTTTTAACTTATTGAAGCTACATCAACCGACTCTTAACACCGGAGATACCTCTGATCGACACTAACCCTGTGAGAATTTTTGAGGTACAAATTGAGAGGTCGGTGTGTGCACTAATGGAAAAATAGTGTAAGGAGTTTGGCATTTACGATTTTGCATTCCGTTGTGGGTATGTTTTATGGCGCTTACTTAAGTTAAACAGAGAGTTGTAGGTTACAATAACAAAGTACATAGGTAGGAATGGAGCAAAAAGAGCAGTAAGGAAATCGAGGAAGATTCGGCCATCATTATAGATAGTGAATGAGTAACTGTCTCTCAACTGTATTGTGTACTCAAAGATATTTCTATAACAATAAACAGGGAAACATGGTGTGCGACAAAATGAAGGATAAAGGATAAACACTGTTTGTGACCCCCCCCCCCCCAGAACCCGTACTTTTTGGCTGCTGGTTGAGATCTTGAATGAAAAATCATCCCATTTTCCTCGTGGCAATAGGTTTGGTTTTATTGTTCTGTGGTGAACGATTTTGCATATATTACTGAAAACACGTCATTGACAGCAAGCAGAAGATCTAGTAAAGGTCCAGTGTTAACAACTGCGGTTATAATTCTCAGAAAACAAATTTGTTTTCTCAGAATTATAGCCGCATATTTTCATAGAAAATTCATGCCCTGAAAAATAGGCCACGAAAATGAAATATCTGTATTCAGGGCCCTGAAAAATGCTTTCCTGGGTTTTTAATGACATTTTCATGGGATTTTCATAACATTGCAGCTTCATAGTGAAACTTCATGTGGATTGGAAACGGGTCAACCTTGCCAAAACCTTTTGAGGGGAAGTGGCTCCTCTGAGCCTTATGACAACACGGCGATGACTAATGAATCTTTTTTATTATTATTATTTTTTAATATTTGATATTCAATGGAAATTAGAAATTTTCAGAAATTCTGGATAAACTAAGCATAAAAAGAAAAAAAACTTCCGCGACAGAATAAGCTCGGTTGCCAAGTAACAATTCATCCTGATGCGGAAATTTGTAGATATAGTTGAGGTAATCCGGTTAGCGCGTTACTTTTGTCCCCGTTGATTAATATCACAATATTAAACGACGTATTTTCGATGCAAACGTAAGAGACTTTAACCTCTGCTTTTGTCCAAAAAGGGACGAGGGACAAAGAGGGAGGGCTGGGATAATAAGCATGGTCTCCAAAGTCCAGCATAAATTAACGGATTCATCAGTTAGTCGAGCTTTATCTTAATGTTCGATGAATTTGTGCTTACACCTTAATGGACTGTGTAGATATTAGTGGATAAATGCTGGATAAAGTTTCAACGACCTCAAACTTTTTACCTAACATTTCTTTTGCTCTCTTGTTCGCGGACCATGCCTACCCATGTGACAACATGTCTGCCAGTCTTTTGAACACCTTTGGCGACATTAATGGTAATTTAACTCAAAGTGGACAGACTGCAAATTATGGTAGTTGCTAAAAAATATATCTACGTGTCGTAACAGTTTATCAGTAGGATGCCTAAAATGTGTGCAATTCCAAAAAGGGATGAGGGACAAAGAGGGAGGGCTGGAATAATAAGCATGGTCTTTAAGACCCTGCTTAAATTAACCGGTCCATCAGTTAGTCGAGCTTTATCTTAACTTTCGATGAATTTGTGCTAACACCTTAATAGACTGTATAGATATTAGTGGAAATGTCGGATCAAGTTTGAACGACTTCAAACTTTTTACCTAACATTTGTTTTGCTCTGTTGTTCGCGGATCATGCCTACCCATGTGATAACCTGTCTGCCAGTATCTGCCAGTCTTTTGAACAGCTTTGGGGACATGAATGTTAATTATTCAAAGTGGACAGAATGCGAATTATAGTAGTTGCTAAAAAACATATCTACGTGTCGTAACTGTTCATCAGTTGGATGCCTAAAATGTCTATAAAGAGAGAAAACCGTTTACATAAAAACCCATAAAACGGCCATAAATCGGCTCTTGGACCAAACAGGAGAGACGTAACACACATTTTAAGTACGGTAAGCTGTTTTTTATTGAAATCCTTTCATTTTCGTAGGTTAGAGAAACGATAGGTTTTTTTCCCACACAAATCCTTATATTTTGAATGTTACGCAACAATACCGATGCTCATATTTCGAGCTTGGGGTACCTGTGGCGTCACGACCCACAAAGGTTCATGGGTAAAACTGTTTATGTGCCTCATTTCAATCGTGACACGGTCGAGTTCACATCTCGTAAGAGAGAGAAATCAAAACCCGGGATCAAAATACTGCTTCCTTTTCTGAAAAACGTTACGGAAGAGAGCGATTTGGAGAATTTTCAAGATCTCATGCTGGCCTTAGATGCTTGCTATTGGCTTCATAAGGTAATTCCAATTAGTTTATCGCGATTCACAGACGATCGAAGGTGCGATTTTAGGCGGCGATTTCCTGCTTCTCAGGAGATTTTAGGTACTGTTTAGTGCTGTGGTTATATGTATATTTCTATCTCAGAAGAGTGAAAGAGATCTGTAGTTCATACCTGGATTTGCTTAAATAAAATATTAGTTCATTTGAAGGTAACGTTTGATGGACTTTATTAACTGGGCAAGGAGGGGAGCGCGAACAAAAGAGCAAGGTGAGAAATCTTGCATCGTCTCTCATAGCAATTTTATTTTCATCGACAATTTTATATTATTTTGCAAACACTAACAGTTTGTAATCCTTATGAGCAAATAAATCTTCTATAGGCAAGGGAAAAACAGACCAAAAGTAGCACCCGAACAGCTACTGCAACATCACAATGGGAATTTCACCGAAGCTACGGCCGCAGAAATAAACCACAATCTTGTGTGTACGTTCATTAAAGTGAGCGCAGTGTATCGATTTTTGTTATAAACCTAACCTCACAGTTTTAAAATCCTGTATGATGTTGTCCAGATCTTCGATAATGGTTTTGTGTTTTGGTAGAGATTTATTCCCTCGCGTAAGTTAACATGAAGATTTGCATACACATAGCACACTAAAGACACGCTTTCAGTTTCCGCACTGGGTTATAAAAATGTTTTGTTTCCAAAGGTTAACACAACATTCAAACTTCTTTACCATTTCTGTTTTAAAATGAAACAAACTCTTCCTGGATTTTGCGTTATATACTCGCTTCACGTCGGCTTTCGCTTCGGCAAGTTTCTCAGCACGTTTCCCGGGAGTTGTGCTACTTGGCTGAGACAATCTCTTCATTCCACGGCACTTTCAACGCTTCTTAACGGGGAAACTAACAGGGGGTAGACCCAGGTAGACCCCAAAATTTACAAAGAAGAAAGGTTGAAGTAACAAGTTTTTTTTTTTTTTTTTATATTTTATTGATAATCACATTAAATAATTACAGTTACAATACTACAGAAAAAAAAACACTTTAACAATAGATATTAACAGAGTAAAGCAAGATTAATTAAATTATTAAATTAATACAGGGCTAAAAGAGATTATAAAAAGTACAACAGGGCAATGAAATAATACGGAGTTAATGCAGTTAACTTAAATAAGGCGTCAGTATCCACTTTCTTTTAAAGAATTCTTTGTTCTTTGTTGTTGAAGTAACAAGTTGACCGAAATAATCCGATAAAACCGCTAACAGTAACCAGCAATGAATCCAAGAAGAACGGCGAAAATAACACTCAAATCATCATGGCGGCTTGCACATGACCGAGCAATTCAATTTTGTCACAAACGCTCAAGAAAGCAAAATATTTAAAACTAACGCAACTGCTATCAAGATAAAGTGTTCCAACATCTTTCCACGGCGGTATGGTGTCGAAATTATCTACACAAACTTGGAATATAGCGAAAATTTTACCACATATACCTCTGAAAACAGCTCTTTCCAAGCGCGAAAATCACTCTACAAATGACGCATTCTGATTGGTGGAATCTCGACGCGCACACCGCCTGGTCCGGAAAGAAATCTTGTCGAGTCAATATGACGGTTATGTCTTTTGAAGAAAAAACAGATGACGCTCGCACGTGCGCATAAACGGGACACTGTCTCTTTAATTGAAAAGTCATTTACCCGCAACGGCCTCAAGTGGGGTTTTTGATTGACTTCTCGGTTGGAAACTCATTTGAGAGCGTCAGGATAATCATGATTAATTTCTTTCAGATGTTTTCAAAATCGGACAAAATAACCAGGTGCAGGAATGGGCATAGCCCTATTTGCAAAACAAACTTCGGACAAAAACTCCCAATTCCCTATCATCAAGCGAAAACATTAAAAAACTCTATGAATAGAAATCAATTATGAATTTAAAAGATTATCTTATAATTAGGCATGCTCGATTACACGATCAGCCTCCGCGGGAGTCGGCGACAACAGCCAAGAAGTGGGCATTTCCTGCTCAGTTGAAAAGTGATTTTACCTCAAGGTTACCTTATTACTTTTTTAAAAAGTGAGCCATAAAACCAAAACCCTTTCACAGTCATCTCGCGTGATCATTCGATACAGTGCATTGGCCAATACTTGAAAAATATTGGACCAGCAATGAAGCAATCTGATTGACTGGTTTTAGTTATTGGCCCTCTGAACCAACAAAGGAAGTTGGCCAATGTTTGGTAAATAAACCACCGGTTACCATGGCTACCTGCCAATGACGTCAAACCTCTTCTTTAGTTTAATTGAAGACATTTCCTTTTCAAACTTGATTCTTGCTTTGGTTCCCAACCTGGTTCCTAACTAGGTTGCTTTTTCCCCTCGTCTCCTTTTGCCTCAAGTTAA